GGCACGCGGGCTTGGATGGAGGTTTTCATCTGGAGATGCCAAATGGGGTGTTGGCACTTGGGGGACACCACAAAGCCACAGGAAATCCATAGGGAAGGGGGGGTGGGTTTTTCAGGAAATCCCTGCTTCTCCCTCACCTGTGACCCCTTGTAGAGCTGCATCCGCAGTGGAGGAGCTGTGGGGTCCCTGGGTGGTTCTTTTAGACAAAAACATCTTGGGTTCCTGTGTGGGTGCAGCGTAAGCCCCTCTGAAGGGCAGGGGGGAGGGCAGGATGAGATTTGGGGCACGTTCAGGGTGCCAGACCGGACCCTGCCTGTGTGGGCACCCCGGCTGCTGGGCATGGGGACCTGAAATCCTGCCCTGCTGCCCACGAGGGCTTGGGGCCTTTGTAGGGCACTCCCACAGAGGGTTTGTCCAGGTGGGTTTTTGGGAAGGGTGGCTCTTGGCCTTTTTTTTTTTTGACGGCCGCACCCCCCTGCCACAGCCGAGGATATGGGAAGCCCCATTACCCTTCTCTGCCCCTCATCTCTGGGGACCTTGAGCCCAGGGACGTTGTTTGAGTGGGGCTTGGTGTTAGGAAGCCCTGGGGGGAACACGCAGCCCCCAGCTGCCCCCTCTGCATCGTCCCAAAGAGCAAACCCACATGGCAGATGGAGCCGGAGGCCATCACACGCGGGGAATTTTTGGGGCACAGGCCCGCCTCCGCACTCCCCCACCCCTGCCAAAATGCCACCACCCCCCGCTGCCGCCTGCAGCTGTAATTAGCAGCTTCATCAAGGTCGTGCAGGCTCCAGACTGAATTTACCGGGAGCGGTAATTAAAGCGTGATTGCGGCTGGGCCGGGCGCTGCGGAAGCTCCCTGTCACAGCCCTGGGTGCACAAAGCCAGCGCGGTGGCAGGGGGTGGCCGGGACATGGGGACATCTCTGTGGGAGCCACCGAGGCCCTGCTGCCTCTCACCCCCCCAAAACCTCCCTCTCCAGCTCCTTGCAGCCCTTTGAAGCCTCCTGCCCAGCTGTAATTGCATTCCTTTCTGCTGACTTGGGGGGGGCGGGGGGGGCCCCCCCTGCTGCTGCTGGGGAGAGGCAAAACCCTGCACGATCCAGGGCTGGGGGGGACTGGAGGGATTGCCATGAGCTCTTGGAGGGGAGAGGGGACGTTGTTGGGGGTCTCCTGCCCCATCTGTGGCACAAAG